CTCTCTCTCTCTCTCTCTCTCTCGGATGAAAAAAAGACTGTTTGACGGAGAACTAAATCACCTATCAATTAACCCTCTTTCATCCCTTAATCTCTGTAAAAAATGGGAGAAATTGTCATGAAAATCACAGCGCAGTACGAAAAATAATTCATTTGCGGCGCACAGTGACTTCCGGTAATTATAAATTCACCTGTCCCCTCCTAATTGAGATTAAGGGATGAAAAAAGGGCAATTCGACGGAGAATTAAATTCCCCATCAATTAACCCTCTTTCATCCCTTAATCTTTGTAACGAAAAAATTTAAACTGCCATGAAAGTCATGGGCCAGTGAGAAAAATAATAGTTTCGCGGCGCACAGTGACTCCCGGTAATTAAAAATTCACCTCTTCCCTCCTAATTGAGATTAAGGGATGAAAAAATGGCAGTGCCACGGAGAATTAAATCCCCTATCAATTAACCCTCTTTCATCCCTTAATCTTTGTAACGAAAAAATTTAAACTGCCATGAAAGTCATGGGCCAGTGAGAAAAATAATAGTTTCGCGGCGCACAGTGACTCCCGGTAATTAAAAATTCACCTCTCCCCTCCTAATTGAGATTAAGGGATCAAAAAAAGGCAGTTCGACGAAGAATTAAATTCCCCATTAATTAAGCCTCTTTCATCCCTTAATCTTTTTAACAAAAAAATAAAAACTGCCGTGAAAGTCATGGGCCAGTAACAAAGATAATTTTTTCGCGGCGGCCAGTGACTTTTCACTATTCGCCCGCGAATTAAAAATACGCTTCTGCCCTTCTAATTGAGATTAAGGGATGAAAAAAGGGCAATTCGACGGAGAATTAAATTCCCCATCAATTAACCCTCTTTCATCCCTTAATCTCAATTAGGAGGGGAGAAGTGAATTTCGCGGGCGAATGGTGAAAAGTCACCGTGCGCCGCGAAACAATGATTTTTCTTACAGGCCCATGTGTTTGATGGCAGTTTTTATTGTTAAATTTCAAATTTTTTTCTTCTCGTATACCTTTTTGGGTCTTACGATTTGTTCCCTTCCCACCCCCCTCAACCCCCTGTACCGTATTTGCCGAAGGGAGGGAAAACCTCATTCGAGGGAAAAACCTGCCCTGGTACTGTCGTCCTTTTTGACGGGACTACCGCTTGGCAGTGAAACTGTGAGATTAGAGCGCTATAAATTTTGACTGCCGATACTGGGAAGCGAACCCAGATCATTGGCATTCGAGTCTAGCACTCTAACCGCACGGCCACTACCGTCGGTAGTTTTTATTGTTATGTTACAGAGATTAAGAGATGACAGAGGGTTAACTGATGGGGAATTTAATTCTCCGTCGAACGGCCCTTTTTTCATCCCTTAATCTCAATTAGAGGGGGAGAAGTGAATTTTTAATTCGCGGGCGAAAGGTGAAAAGTCACTGTGCGCCGAGAAGAAAATTATTTTTCTCACTGGCCCATGACCTTTGTCGTAGTTTGTATTTTTTTGGTAGAGAGATTAAGGGATGCAACGGAGATCGATTGATGGGGAATTTAATTCTTTGTCAAACTGCCCTTTTTTCATCCCTTAATATCAATTAGGAGGGGAGAGGTGAATTTTTAATTACCGGAAGTCAATGTGTGCTGCGAAACTATCATTTTTCTCACTGGCCCATGACTTTCATGGCAGTTTATATGTTTTTGTTACAGAGATTAAGGGATGCAAGAGGGTTAATTGATGGTGAATTTAATTCTCCGTCGAATTGCCCTTTTTTCATCCCTTAATCTCAATTAGGAGGGAAGAGGTGAATTTTTAATTAACGGGAGTCACTGTGCGCCGCAAAACAATTATTTTTCTTACTGCACTGTGATTTTCATGACAGTTTCTTCCATTTTTTACAGAGATTAAGGGATGAAAGAGGGTTAATTGATAGGTAATTTAGTTCTCCCTCAAACAGCCTTTTTTTCATCCGAGAGAGAGAGAGAGGGGGAGACAGCAAACGGCTGACGAAAAACCTCAAATGATTCTTTTTCTCGCATCCAGTCCGTGACGATCCGCAGGCCCGTGCGCGCATGCGCAAATAGTCTTAACAATACTGTAGGGAGTGGGAGTGAGACGGAGACTTCTCTCTCGCACAAAAGGTTCTCATTCACGGCGCCGGATTTAGGCGTTGGAACTGGAAAGTTGCATTCAACTTTGAATCCATAGGAGATTCGCGGGTACGATCAAGACAAAATTTGTGGTAAATTTTCTAATAAAAAATATGGAAAAAAAAAGAAATTCATTGATTCAATGTCAAGATATAAATAGCAACATATATTAGATTTGCTCTGAATAAATAAACAAGCTATTGAAAAAAAAAAACACTGGTATTCCGAATTACAAAAAAAAAATCATCAACTTCAATTTTTTTATTGGAAAACATTTTTTTTTTCCCATCTAATCTTCACGCGGCTCTGGGGCATGAACGGTTGGGAATAGGGGTAAAGTGCCTAAAACATTTTTTGTGTAGAATTCTGATCTCTACAACTTTGTGTGTTACGTTTTTGGACGCACAGCGCGTTATTCACGAGTTATTTCGAAAAAACTGTTTTCAGGGGTAGTTTTTTGGCTTTTTCAACCCCCGCACAAACTTGGGGAACCTTAAATATCCGCCATTAGTTTCATACGCCCAAATCACAAATTCCATAAAAAATGGAGCCTGTATCGCAAACATTCGTATGTTAGACCGACGTTAATTGGACTAGTCGGAGATCCGTTCGGGGTTTCTCCGCGCTTTTGAAAATTCATTCCTCCGCTCCTACTTGAGATTAAGGAATGAAACCGCCGACATTTATTGAGAATTTAATTCTCTATCGATCGGCATCGGTTTCATTCCTTCATTTTCATTAGGGGGAGAGAAATGAATTTTCTAATCGGGAGAGCCCCTCCGGGCTCACTCGACGTCGGAAAGCCGTTCGGGGTTTCTCCGCGCTTTTGAACATTCATTCCTCCGTTCCTAACTGAGATTAAGAAATGACACCGATGTCATTTATTAAAAATCCGTGCGCGTGCTCGCACACTCCCATGCACACACATCGCCGTATTCCGCATCGAGAAAAGATGTAATTTATCAGAAAAGTAAAATTGTTTCTTGAATGTATATCGATTTCGAAAAAAGCTAGTGAACTGCTGATTAAATGTCTTCCAGTATTCCATGATTTGTGCGTTATATCAAGATTCATCNATATCGATTTCGAAAAAAGCTAGTGAACTGCTGATTAAATGTCTTCCAGTATTCCATGATTTGTGCATTATATCAAGATTCATCGTTTCTAACAAAAAAAACTTGAAATCGCATCGTTATGCACGGAGAAATGGTCTCGTTTACAAAAAAACGCTAATTTTCGACTTTTTCCCAAATATTTTTTGGAAAAAACTGGAGAAACGCTGAGACGATCGTCTCCATAATCTAATCAGGTTCAAGTCACATGAAAATTCAGCGATAAAAAAAAAAAAAGTCAAATCGCATCGTTTGTTCAGGAGGAATCGTGGCACAAAATTTTTGTCACAGACGTACGCACAC